CCCCCCCCAGAAATTCTGGATGGTGCAAAAACACCATCTTTAACGGTAAGTCTCTGTCGCCGTGGCCCGTGAGAGGATGCCTATCTTCCGAATTGAAGGAGAAAGCTATGTAAAATGTTTCCCAAAGTTTCCATTAATTCCATCCTGCTTTGTTTATTCAATTACCTCTAATTAACGAGGAAAAATCAGAGTGTAAAATAAAATTATGAATCAATGAAATTTATCACTCTTAATGCACATAGTTTTTACTTAAAATCTCGCGCTCGAACGGTTAGTTTTTTCTTCTCTGTTCATTATTCAGTTGAATTGCTCTAAAAAATCTGGATGCAATCGATTTTTTTCTAATTCATAATTCATATCTTTATTTTTTGGTACATGACAAATGCTCATTCGTTCATAGTTACGTCTTGCTCATTATATTATATTTTACTTTGCATGGGCTTTTCCTAATACAGAACAATGATTCTGGCATTCACTAAACATTTATTTCGCAATTTTCACGCAAATGAGTGGTTAAAAGTGAGAAAATAAATGGAATAACCTGTTGAATGCAACAATTTCAAAGTATTTTAACCTTAAAATGCATAAAACTGGGTGAATTTTATGCAGAAATTGAAGGAAGATTAACGCCACAAGTGCCTCGAGATGCGCTCAAATAGAGTTAAAATTTCAAAAATTTTCCGGGGGAGGCCCCCCGGACCCCCCGCTGACCTGGGGGGTATTCCATACCCCCCAGACCCCCCGGTGGTGGGGGGCCAGGCCCCCCCCCAGCAAAATGGCCTAGCTACGCCTATGTGAGTCACCAAAGAAAGCAATCAGATATGGGCTGATTAGGGATAGTATGTTGATACATTTTCAAGAATTCATATTCAACCCACCTCGTGTGACTGATAAGCGTGTAATAATATGTTCGTGGAGCGTACTCCTTTTCCCGCCCCTGGCTCGGGCGACGGTAAAGTCGCCGCAAAACTATATGACTTCGAGCAATTTCAGTGGCGTGGCGTCCATAGGTTCGCAGTGTTCGCCGAACACCCTAAAATATTTTGAAACAATTAATAAATTATGGCTAAGAATGTGGGAAGCAATACAGAATACAGAATAGTAGATCGCAAATAAGTATCGGGCGCTTGGCTTCCGACAGCAGCATGTGGCGCGGCGGAGAGAGAAAATCCTGTGACGCGTGGTCCGCACCGGCTACCGAACCTGGATGATCTGCGTACGGTGAGGAGAGAGAACCTGGGTGCCATGATGAAGGGGCAAAGGGTACACGAGAGAGGAGAGGCACCGGCGCGCGGTGCATAGCGGAGCGTGAGCATTGGGTTCGAAGACGAGTGCGGACCGCGCTCGCGGAGGGAACACAGCGGAGAGAAAAGGGAGGGAAAAAGAACGAGAGAGGAGAGCCGCTCATTAGTTCATCTGTTTCCTATAGCAGTGGTCCGCAGGGGTTTGCGAACCGCCGAATTTCCTCTATGCCGCGATTCGCCCTCCGCTTCCCCCCCGCGCCTGCGGGCCGCATCTCCCAGTTTCACAGTCTCCCTCTCCCACCTCTCTCTGCAGGTGCGTGTTGCGAAAATACGTTATCATTTAAAAAAATAAATTACAGGAAAACGATCGGTACGAAGAACAAAATTTCAGTGACAATTTACCGGCACAATTTTCACCAGAAAGGGTTAAAATCGTGTTCTTGCGGCTTCATTTTTTATAAAGTTTCCGGGGGAGGCCCCCCGAACCCCCCTTTAAGGAAGGGGATTGAACCTTTCTGACCCCCCCTCCCCCCCTAAAGTTAACACTCCTACCGAACGCCTACCAGATATAGTCACGCCACGCCACTGTCCGAGCAATTAATTATTCTTGACTCTGCTCGGTTTTAATGATAATTAAAGGGCATTTATTACAACAATTCAGAAACTCGGACGATGTTAAATTTTTCACTGATTTAAAAAAAACGGATTAAAACGAACTAAAATATTCATCAAAATCAAAAATTATTTTATTCTAAAAGTAAAGTATACCTCATATCGTAATTTTTGAGGGGAAAAATAAAACTAACACTGATAGGAGGTAAAAATTGGGCCGCGAAGCGGCCCATTGATGGCGCGGAGCGCCTTCAGGGGGTTGGACCGCGTAGCGGTCAGGGGGCATAGCCCCCTAGTATTTGACTATTTGCCTAGGCATTTGACTATTTGCCTAGGCATTTGACAAAATGCCTAATTTTACCATTTGCCTGCGACATATCGACTTCAGTGTTTGAAAATTTCTTTCCTCCCCCCCTCCCCTTGGCACCAAGTTTTACGAAAATCCGACGAGCAGGAACCGAGACAGCGTTTTAGGCCACGCCCGCCACCTTGGTTTTTCGAATTTTCGAAATTATACTAAAAATTCGAATTTAATCGATGGAATGGGAGCCGATTTAGGCTACGTCCGCCGTCTTTAATTTTCAAATTCAGAAAACTCAACTTGTAACGCATCATACTCAAAATCTAAGCTCAGATTCGGCTTCCTCGTGAAAAATCGATGTTATTTCATGTATCATATGATACCATAGCATAAATAAAAGAGGGTAATCGTAGGCGTAAAGATTCTATCAAAGGCGGCCGGAATGCGGAAGTAGGCACAGAATTCAAACGTTTGAGCTACGCCGCCAGGCGCCAACGCCAAACATTTGGTTCGTCCGTTTCCGAGAAAACAAACTTCTTCTTACTCATCAGCTGACCCACTCCGAATCACCCATGTTGCCACGTCGGACTGATATGGTAGAATCTACACGCCTACGTTAATCTCTTTCCTTCATGATATGGTGACAT